TGTGGAGCAAGACCTGGGCTGACTCGCTGCCTGCTTTTGTGGCTGTCCTCAGCCAGCGCGGCATTCGCTCGGCTCACCGAGGTAGAGGTGAGCTCGGACAGCTCAGAGGGTTGGTTGTATTTATTTTTGATATAACACCATTCATTTAGGGGGCTGGCCAGCTTGCTAAATAACCTCTTGGTTAGTTCCCTGGGAGGAACCACAGGGCATTGCACCATCCAGCCGGAGACGAGGACTCAAGGGGCCTTGCTCTGGTCTTCCCCAGCTCTTGGCCAAGCGATTGCGTTCGCTTCAATGCGCCCAGACCGGTTACTGGGACCACAGTTAATGGGGTTGAACTGGGAAAGCCGGGGCGGACAACGGCCGGGCGCTGCAGGGTGTCGAGCCAGTCCTGCCCTTTGATCAGTGATAAAGTGACAAGGACAGGGTGCTGGGGAGGATGCTTGGAGGCTGCAAGTTAAACTTTGCAGGTGGCTTCAGCACCAGGAGCCGCTGCAGGTACGGGCGAGCTCCTGCCTGAGGACGTGCCTGGGACAGTTGTGTTTGAAGGGAGGGCATGGGCATGCTGAGCAGGAGGGCTGGGATGGAGAAGGAAAAACTTCACAGAAGTAGCAGACCTGGTGTTCATGACACGGGGTGGCAGTGCTTTTCCTAGGCACTGATAAGCCTGGTTGTGCTGCAGGTGACTAACCAGGTGACAAGGGACAGCAGCACCAGCCCACTGAAGCCAGCCCTCGGCCGCTCCTGGAGTTTCGTGCCCAGCACCCGGGTGCTGCTGGAGAACAAAGAAGCCACCTGGGAGAAAGCCACCACGCAGCGCATCGCGTCCTTGGCAAAGTCACCGCGGCAGGTGAGGCTCCTGGACCGGTCCCTCTGGTGATGGAGATGCAGCTGCGTGACCTGATCCACGTGGGTTTGGATGCGGTGGTGTGCTGGGCAGCCCAGCGCATCCTGGATGTGATAGTTGATGGTGTGGCTGGGGATATCTGGGAGCGAGATGTTCGTTCTTTATTAAATTGCATTCTCTATTTGTAACGCTGTGTTCAGCAGACCCAGTTAAAATGAGGGCACCAGCAGAAAGAAATCCTCAAGGGGATGTAATTGGGGATTTTTGGCTCTGGGACAGGGGATGGAGCAATGCAGAGGTTTGTCCTTAGAGCCCCAGCAGTGAGAGATGAAGCTCTTCTCTGTTTCTCCTTGCAGCCGACGGGGATACAGGTGGAGCTGGATATTGGAAGTGCTGATGTGCAGGAGCCAAGCCCAGCGACACCCACGCACGGCATCTGATCCGGGTGGAAAAGCCAACGAGAGGTCCAGGAGAGCTGCAGAAAAAGCAGGCAAGCACAGCGAAGGGTTGACAGGCTGCCTCCGAGTCCTGCAGCCCTGGGAAGGACCAACAAGAAGCAGCTCTTGTTCTTCTGCGCTGGGGAGAAAATGAGCGTGGGGTTCCCCGGAGACGTCCTTGTCTCAGCAGATGCTGCGTGCAGTGGCTGGGCTGGTGGGCAGTGGGACAGCCAGGTCCTGTCCTCTGCGGCAGGCTTGTCATCAGCCAGCAGAGCCAGCCCTGTCCCGAGGGCTTGGCTGGGGACCAGCTGCCGTGTCCCTGCCCAAGCCCATGGCTCCTCACGGTGGGTTTGTTCCCCCCATCGCTCGCTGCCCTCTGGTCCCAGAGCTCTGATGGTCCTTGGGCAGCCCACTGTGGTCTTGGTTCAGAAATTAAAAAAAAAAAAAAAGTTGCATGCTGCTGTGCTTGTTGAGAGCTGGATTGCAATTAAGGCGACTGCTGTTAATTACAGTGTTGACCTGGCAGGGCTGGGGTGGTTCCCCTGAGCAGGGGAATGTGCCAGAGCAATGTCAGCTGGACCATTGAACAGTTTTTAGTAAAAATAAATGTATTTTCAGGTTGTGTATTTATTTGCATTTCTGGGCTTTCCAGGCTGGGGAGCCCCAGGGCTTGCAGCCTGGCTGGCGGGGGGGGGGGGAGGAGGATGGTTTTCCTGTCCGCTAGAGACCCGTGCTGATGGGGAGGAGGAGGAGAATGGTTTTCCTGTCCGCTAGAGACCCGTGCTGATGTGGCTGGTCCTTACAAGCAGAAAATTCAGAAAATTTAGGTTATGTCTCCTGAGGCAGCGAATAAAGAACTGGTGCACATGAATTTCAACCCAAACCAGCACTACTAGTTTATCTCTCTGCCTGAAGGTCTGTAGGGGAAGCGAAACTCTCGCAGGGGAGCAGGGGAAGGACCAAACAGAAGCCTCTTGGGGGTGGACCAGGGAGGCTTTCCCGCTGTCTCCTTGCCCTCGCCAGCAGGAGGGTGAGAAGGGGAACAGCCCGCTGCAAACCCTGCATCCACCACCCACCCCGAATGCATCTTGGCTGTGGCCCCCGGGTGCACTGTCACCGGGGAGCAGTCGTGGGACGGTGACTCAGTGGGGACAGTGCCATCAGCGAGGACGCGCAGGCTGTGCTCCACCAAAGCTGCCCATCCCAGGCTGTCGGGCATCGCTGTGTCCTGGGGGGTTTCTCTCCCCTTGGCTAGCAGCTCACTGCAGCTGCGGGAGTTTTACGCCCTCTTGAAAAACATCCGGATGGGTCGGGGAGGATGGCGTGGTATGGGGCACGGCTGCATTTTGGGGGGCAGCTGCTCTGCTCCCGGGGTCGCTGCTGAGGTGGGCAGTGTGTGTGCGAGGTGATGCCCGTGTCTGGAATTTCTGGCTGCGTTGCTGCGGGAAGGTGCTGCTGGGGGTGCTGGTTGTTGCTGGTGCGGGGACAGCAGAAGGGTTCAGCCTTTGGGAATCTCGTACCCGATCAGGAAAAACTTGACTTCTTACTCCAGCTGATTTGCCCTGAATTTGCATAGTAAAATCAGGCTGCAAAGAGTTTCTGACCTACATCTCCTAATTCAGCCTTTCACCCCCATCCTCACCCAGCACTTCTGCGTCCCTGGGGGACGGGGGCTGGCTGTGCCACCACGCATGGGGACGTCCCCTCACCCGTGCATCCCCTTGCCTCAATCAGCTGAAAAACTGATGGAAAGGCCTGGAGCAGGGTTTTATCACCCAGGGGAGACAGGGCACCCCTCATGCCGAGCAGGGTGGGTGCCTTTGGGCACTGAGGGCTCGTTTGCCCTCGATACATATAGAATGCATATAGGAGTGTGTGTGTATGTATGGTGTGTATATATGGCTGTGTGTATATGTATGCCTCCTGTATGAATTACATATAGCAGTGTGTGTCTATACGTGTGGTGTGCATGTATGTATATATATTAGGGGGGTTGTGTCCATGTCTGTGTATATATGGCTGTGCATATATCCCTATATATGGGTGTACCTGTATGTATATGTATGTGTATATGTATGCCTCCCATATAAATTACATATAGCAGTGTGGGTCTATACGTGTGGTGTGCATGTGTGTATATATGGGGGGTGTGTCCATGTCTGTGTATATATGGCTGTGTGCATACACCTATATAGGGTGTAGCTGTGTGTACGTGTATGCTCCCCGTGCCATGCAGCTCACCCCCATGCCCACAGCAGAAACTCCTCCAAAACACATGG